GATTGCTGTAGGACACTTGACATTTTTCCAGCCGGCTTTCGTACGTGATACACTTTATAACCGGAACGGAACTCGGGCATTTTGAAATATCATTTCGCTACTGTAAACCCAATTATTCCGGAGCAAGAGGAGGAGGAATGATTACAACAAAATCCGGACGCACGACGCAAAGTGCACGCATTCAGATTTTACAATGAAAAAAAAACGGAGATTACTGGCAATTAATGTTGAGGAAAAAAGTTCATTTTACTATAGTGTGTGTTACAATTACAGTTTTCACTGTAATCCGTTTAAAAAGCTTTTGTTTTCTCGTTTATTGTTATGTTTAATTTAAATCGTTTCACTAAAACATTTAATACAAAAACATTGCAACTTTAATTTTACCATCATTTACAGTTATACCTCGACTAACGCTACCTGTGATAATGAAGCTTTCATATAACAAAGTCCTAAACTATTCGAAAACATTATTTTTTCTCGGTACACAATCAATAGGAAATGCGAATATGGAGTTTGGTGTAAAATACAACTAGTAGTTGTAGTAGAAGATCCAGTTGCTTAATCAATAGGTTTTAACAAGGACGATGAAATGTTAGAAATTTATTGAATGATGAATATGATGTTTTTTTCAGTGGAACATTTATAAACCTATGAAGATATAGAAAATGAAGACGTAATTAAAGAAGATCTTGCTGAAAAACATTAACAATCAACCTCTAAAAACGAAGTTTCGCTTAACAAAGTTATTTCATGAAACACATTATATATGTGTATGTTATTTCATAACTTATGCAGTTTCAAGTTGGTATAACTGTCTAAAATACTTGCAACAGCTGTCAAATTTTAATATAAATCGCATATCGGACTTAGTATAATTACACTAAGAAGAATCAAACATTTAAAAGGTGCAAATTACCTTAAACAGTTCCGCTTAACGAAGTAATTTCATGAAATGCTGTCTATTCGTTAATCGATGTATAACTGTACATGTTATTTGATAAATCACTTAATTTAATGTTGGTATACCTGTCTCAAATACAGGTGTCAAATATAATATAACTTCGTATATCAGACTAATTATAAAAATGATTCTAACAACCAAAGATTTAAAATAATTCTTAAATGACATTGATAAGATGTTTGCTTAACTACTGAAAATTAAGTTTCGATAAACGAAGTAATTTCGTGGAACGCATTCTATTCGTTAATTGAGGTATGACTGTACATGTTATTTGATAAATCACTTAATATGGAATATCGGAATTTGTTTAATTGCACCACTAGATATGATACCAGATTCAAGTATTAATATTTTCAATATTCAACACTAAAATCTCCTATAACACTATATTATCATTATTCAGTATGTAACCGAAACAAAATTAGGAAGTACCATTCATATTTACAATAAAAACAGAAAATAATAGCAATAAAAGTTGTTAAAAAGTTAACTTTAAAACTGTTTCAATGTATATTACAATTGCGGTGTTTTCATTATTATCCGATTAAAAAAGCTAATTTCGCATTGCTTTCTACATTTTTCAATTTTCCGTTTTGTTCAATTTAAAATCTGTTGTTTCGCTGTTGCATGTATTTTTGTTTATTTGTTTCTCTTTCTGTTTAGTGACTTTTTTTTGTCTATTTTGACGCAGTCCGAACAAGTTGATTGCAACAACAGATATATCGATTTGTTATCCACATTCACGTGGAATAATGCAGTAATAATATTTTGATAAGCATGTGACATCCGAACGTCAGATATAAAAGACATTAAAATTTAGTAAAACGCAAATGTTATATGACAATTTCTATTAGCATTCATATATTTTTATGTACGTAAGTAGAAATTGTTGTAAGTCGAAAAATTACAGTTGATTTTTCATTATTTAAAAATAACAATAATTATTATTAAAAAATATAAATTTAAAACATATTTATAAAATCAATAAGCAAAAGAAAAAGATCAACATAGGTCATTTCACCGATATGCAAATATGCTTTATATATTGGTAGCTTGAAGTATTAAATATGCAAAACTGAACAAAGTTTAGTCTATGAATATTGCAGTGATTCGTGGAACTAAGTTCAACTAAATTTCCGGTTTAAAGCGGATGGCCAAACTATTTCTTTTATTCTTCACATCCTGGATTACTTACTTTCGCATGTCACACGTTCAGCTATTTGCAGTCCGAACAAAAAGCATTCGCCATACTAAATACGTGCAGACAACGAATACAAACATCCTACGTTTAAACAATTAAAGTTATTGTAAATGTTTAATTTTAATTAACGTTTATTTCTTATATAATGGTAGCTATATTGTGCATCTTCACTATACATGGACATATGACAAAAATGTCTGTCAGGTATACCAACTGCCAGGCGGTATTAAAGTTGACACCATTTTGTCAACTTCTATCGTCTTACACTTTAGAGTTTTAATGCGTCTTCATTAATAAATTCCTGTTTTCTTGCAAAATCTAAGTACAATTTCACTGTTGACGGAGCAGAATTCTTATTTCTCTGTTCATTAAAATTTAGAAATATGAATTAAACTTCGATATTTTTTAGTAGAACCCTAGATTTTCGTAGACTTTAGACATTACAACTCTCATAGATTGATTTAACACTGTAACTGTAACATTCGAATTGGTAGTTCCCACCTCTACATAAAAGTTGGTACAACTGATAAACATGCATGTATTTTTTGGTTAAATATTGTATTTTAACCATTAATTTTCACAAATTCAAACGATCCAATAAAATAATTTCCTTTTAATTTCCAATTATCAATTTTTTTTTTCATCATATTATATTTAAATTTGTATTCTATATAAATATTTATAAACTTTATACGTAATTTTTATGTACTTTTGTATGATGTATAATTATTTGAATAAATATTATTACTATTATTAAAGTAATATTGTCAGGTTGATGAATAAAATGTCCCAGTTTATAATAATAGTTCTATTATTCATTAAAAATAAGTTAAATTCTAATATACATTCTTAAAGTTTACGTTAAATTAAAAGATAATTAAGCATTTTTAGTACAATTCAGAAAAATAAAACTAGTGTTGATTTAGTCTTTTCTTTGGGTTTAAAGATCTAAATTACCCAGAAACTAATTAATTATAGCAGTTAAGCATTTCTCTCTACAAATTTGCGTTAAGTACTTCATTCACAGTATTATAATGTAAAAAAAGGAGAACGCGTTGAAAGAATTTTTTTCATATATATATAACACTTGTTTAATCTATTTTTTGTCTGCTGCCGTACGGAAAACTTTTTATTCGTTCCTTTCCTTGAAATTTCACAGAAGTAATAATCTAACGAAAAAAAAATCTCATCCTGCGAAGTTTCAAGTTATATATTTCTATTTAAGGTCACGAGCTACATAAACTGTCGTCCCAAAAGAAAGTATAATTTTTCTTAAAATCTTTGTTTTTATCGCATTTCCCTAGTCCATATTGCAGATTTTAATTGAAAAAATATTTTCCTCCAAAAAAATGATGTTGATATAAATAATTGAAATGTACAATAAAATTCAATATTTCTTCTATAGAAATACTCATAAATATTAGTTAAATGCTGTCGTAATTTTATTTTAAAAAACATAGTGCGTTTTCGATCAGTGCGGATTCACTATAATCCAGTTCAAAACTGACTTAATTGACAATAATAATGCACATAAATGATTTTACACTTTTCTTTATACAGTCATGTCTCTTATTGTGCGGTTTATTTTTGTATGTATTAAATTCCTCAATTACTCCGATTCAAAACAGTTCATGATATTGGCGAAACCGATTTCCTGCATTATGCAAGATATCTTATCGCAAAATTTTCTCGATTCAATTTGATAAATAAATAATGGTAGTAAATATGTGCTGTATTCGGAACAAATTGAATAACATTGGACTGCAGCGAAGTTAAATAAATAATAGGAGTATTTACTGACACAGATCAATGTACGTAACTAAACTGGCTGAATAAATCGGAACGTTTAAATAAGGTTTGCGTCAATATGTGCAACAAATGAACAAAAAAAAAGATGCGTATAGAAATTATGACTGTGGAAATTAAATTTGCAATTTACTAATTGGAACAATAAACAAATTCAATTACAATATTGTTTAACGCTTACGGCAATGAAATTACATTGTGGTTAGTGTAATTTTCATTTATTGCTTATAAATGTTTAATTTAATAGATTCATTCCAATTAAATTTTATAATAAATATTAATCAATTAATTGAAACCATAGCAAAAGTTAAAATCATAATATAATAGGATAGAAAACTGTATTTTCATAAGAATAAGACGCATCTTAATTTTAGAGCCCGAAAAGCAAGTAAAAAATCTCTATAAGTTTCAGTTTTTAGACTTATTTTTTTTTTCGAAAAAATGGTGCTTCTTGAAAATACTTGTTGAAAATACGCTTAATTGATTAAAAATAAAGACGTTCGTAAATATTATTAAGTAAATACATTTTCATTATGAAATAACCCTGTTAATTATTTCTCTTTAAATTAGTTTTAAAAGTAAAATGTCAACTTGTTTCTTATCGATTTATATTCAAGGCCTAATTACAAGAATTTAAATGAACAATCATTTCAAGGCGTTATTTCCATTGGGATATAAAAATATATATGTATAAATTTATATAAAACTTTATTAATAGATAAAGAAAGTACAGTTTACAATCGAGTCGAAGAATAAAATTATTAACAATAGGTTGGATTTCAATACGGAAATAAGGTATATAAATAAATATACGAAAAAATAAAACAGTTGTTAGTTTTGAGTGGATGTTGGATTAATGTTGTTTAGTGTTTATAGAATGTAAACTGAAATAGCTGTGAGCGTCATCTTTAAAGGCGGATACAAATTTAATTACGTATTTAGTTGGTATAAGGAAATGATAAATTATATAAAAGAAAGTAGGAGCATTATTAGGATTTTTTAAACGTAATTCAAGTAAATAATTGTGTGGAAAATAAAGTTGGTGAATTAGTTTCTTGTATTTCTTGAGGCCCTAGATGAAATGATATTGTAGTTCTAATAATGAATACAAATGTATGTACAAATTGGAAACAAAAATTGTATGACTAATAAAGGTATTTAATTAATAGCTAAATGACTGAGTGTATAAAACGGATAGGGTGTTTTATTTGTAGTTCTTCTCTGTGACATCGTAGGGTGCGGTGTATACGTGCGCTTCCGCCTTCAGCCATGCATTCTTTATGAGATCGCTAGCCTTTTCAGCGATCATAATAGTAGGAGCATTGGTATTTCCTCTGATTATGTTCGGCATTATAGAGGCATCGATAACTCTCAGGTTCTTGATACCGTAAACCCTTAGTTTCGCATCGACGACGGCGTCTTTATCATTCTTGGGGCCCATTTTGCACGTGCCGACGGGATGGTACAATGTCGTTGTATACTCGGTCGCAATGCACATCCAATAATCGTCCGAGCCGAAGTCGTGGTGGCTGCAAGATGGCAAAGGAATATCCACTAATTGGTAACCGGCGTCCTGTAATTTGGATGTCCTCAATAAATTCAGAGCCTGCTTGATGCCTTCCGTGATCGTAAGCAAGTCCAACCTTTCCGAGAACGTATTCGCGTAGATCAATGGGTCCCCGAAGACGGGATCGCTGTTGTTAAGACGGATGACTCCTCGGCTTATCGGATTCAGCAGGATGGGTCTTACGGTGATCGCGTTGTAGTAGCACAACGGTTGGTTGTTGGTCTCCGCCGTGAGAACAACGTCTTCGAGATAGTTCCCTACATTGGTGGAATCGAAGGAATACTGCACGTCGGGTCGATCGCCATTCGCATACAAAGTCTGCACGAAAGCGTTCACTTGCAATGGACCTGTTGATGATAATGGGCCACGATGGGTTTGCTGATAGTATCGCACATCCGAGTCGCGCTGTTCATCATCAACATCGGTTGACGTTTTATTCGACAAAGCGAAAACGAGACCATCGAGGGTGGTGTGATCGTGTAAGTTATAGCCGACAGATAACTCCTTCAGAACCGGAATCTCGTGCTGAGACAATTCCTCGTAGGGTCCGATACCGCTCAGCATCAGCAGTTTAGGACTGTTTATGCTACCCGCCGATACTAACACCTCTTTGCGAGCGAACGCTTGCTTCACATTACCATGCTTGTCCTGGTATTCCACACCTAAAGTCACCTTCGTATCCGGATCAATTATGATCCTAGTAACATACGTTCTCGTTCTAATCGTCAGATTATCTCTCTTATTACGAATCGGCCTGATGAACGCGCCATTGCTGCTCAACCTTTCACCATCTCTGCTCGTGGTTTGCAGCAGCATAGTACCAATCAGTCGTTCAGTATTTTGATCGAATTCGTCTAATCCCAATTCCCTGAAACCATCAATAATCGTCCTAATATTTACATCTTGATATGGGAAATTCTCCACCGTCAGGTAACCACCAACACCATGGTAATAAGCTTCAACTCTATCGAGGTTTCTATTATCTTCCGATTTGATGAAATATGGAAGAACATCTGTATACTTCCATCCAGTGTTACCCATCGCTGCCCACTCGTCATAATCCAATGGGCTACCTCTCATATAAATCATGTAATTGATTGTAGATGATCCACCCATCGCTTTTCCTCTTGCCCATGAACATCTTCCGTTGGTTCTCGAGCGACAGCTAGTTGAAGAAGGTTGAGTCAAGTACTGCCAATCTATGCTTGAACCTTGCATAATCGGTGGAAAAGCAGGTATATCAGCGGCTTCTGGTTCTTCGCCTCCAGCTTCCAACAGTAATACCTAAAAGTAAAACATACAATTAATCATCATTTAATTTATAAAATTAATAAATAACATAAATATTTGAAGACAGTTACATACTTAGATAAAAATAAACAAGTGTTGCCTCAAGAAAAATAACAAATACTAAAATAACCTTTTAGAAACTTCTATTTTCCTATTTATATATGAATGATACAAGCATGAACAAAACTAATTATTTTCAAATTATGATTTGTAGAAAAGAAGAATAAAAATGATTGTTGGGAAGATAAATCAATCAACATAAAATATAATCTGAAACTTTGGTAAATTTTCATGTATGATTAAAAAAAAAAGAGAATTCTTCTGAAAAGAAAGATTATGAATGACATAAATTTGTATCAAACATAGTTCATTCATAAAATAAAAGTGTTGTTGTAAACAAATCCCAAAATGTATACTAAAACTTTGTAAAGATCCATCAATTTGTGAATAGTATACTTCTGAAACTTAGAAAACTACACTCTTATAACTTTCACCCAACGAACAACTCAGTCAATAAAAAAGCAGAAAGTGACAAGCCTAATTCTGTAACATTACTATTTATTCTTTCAGTTTGTGTCAGGTTATGATTTATCTAATTAGTATTATTTTTAGTTATTTGTTTAATTAAAAAAAATCGTTCAATTTACTTGCAAAAATGATAAAACAAGATCTTGTTTACAAATTAATATATAGTAAAAAGGTAAATGTAATTTGTTATATCAAATCTGCGTTAATCGAGGTGTTACTGTGTTTAACTATTTGAATAACCTTGTATATTTAAATCTACTAACAATTCTCTTATATTGTCTTATATATTTTTATCAAGAACAAAATGAAGATCGATATTTTATTTCTATATTCCAATGATTTTATATTTTATTTTGTTCATTCATTGGATTTTATAATTTTCCTATATACTTTCCACAAGTTAAAGTTTTAAACCGTTTACATATGAATACCATGTGGTTTTAAATGACCAACAAAACATTAATTAATGCAGATTTATAATTAAGGAAAACACTATAAGTACAGCTAACTCTAGGACGAAACGCAAATCACATTATAGTATAAAATATACGTATTTCTAATACATAATATGGAAATGAATGACAATTCAAATGGAGATACAGAATTGAAATCGTTTTTTTCGATGAATATCTAAGCAGAGCACGCAACATTTCACATTTTTATTTTCGCTTTTAACCGTACGCAACGACGAAATAAAAATTACTTTCCGCACATAAATAATTAGTAATAGGCATATTACGTAAAGTAAATATAAAAATAAACGCAGGAAGGTTAACGTAATATTTCACTGGGGAGGAATTTCCACGAAGTCGAGAAAAAAAATGTACGGTCGAATTTTTTGCATAACACTTTTATTATTGTTGTGTTAATAAACATGAATATTTATGAAATTCATTCCATATGATAGCGGTTAAATTTGAGGGCCCTGGGCTAACACTGTTTGGGGAATCTGGACTAACACTCTTTGTGGGCTAACTTTAGTTGTGGGCCCTTGATCAATACTATTTGGGGCCCTCATACTGTTTGATGGCTTTTGACTAACATTAATCAGGAGCCCTCAACTAATACGGTTAATTTACCCAAAATTGGGTTAATTGTGTCTATCTTTGATTGAATCCTTAAAGGTCATGCCTAAATCCGCACTTGTTATATAAAAATAATCAAAAAATTGTTAATATTAAATATTTTTTTGCATTAACATTTTGTAGCATTGGGGAAACGCATGTTTTCGAGGCAATACGCAAGGTGACTTGTGAAAGGCGCAAAGTTATTTGAAAAATCGCGCGGTTACTTTTTGTTTCATTTTTGTCCGAGTCGCAGTTAATTGCAGCCACCGCTACCGTTGAGTTCGATGAGCTTTTTTCCATGCCACCTTCGGCTTTAAAAGATCGTTCAATTTCTGTTTTGCTTTCAGTGAATGTAAAACTGTTATGAAATTTAACCGTTTTCGGAATATTAAATGACACACTTTTACCATCGAGTATGTATGTAAAACTGGCGACACACATAGATTCTGGTTTTGATAAATTATATCAACAAATATACGCAAAGTGTGAATGTAACAACAACAGCAACAAGCAAACAATAATAAACATTATAGAACGAAATAATGCGAATTTATGTGATATAAATGTATGTTATTTTTAATTATTTACTATACAATTTTGTACTTAATTAAAACGTAACGCGAATGTAAATAATGCATGACCTGGTTATGAAAAGAAAAAGAATTGCGTTTGCTATTCTATTAATAATTTTGTTTTCTGTAAAACACGTTTTATTTAATTGCGAATATGCAGATTGTTCTAAAAATGAAAATTACTTAAAATAACTTTTATCGTGCTGCAAGGAAATTTTAAATCAAACTTTGCATGTGTTTGGTAATAAACACGTCACAGTCTTAACGTAATTTAAGGTCGAATTTAAAAAAAATAAAACGGAATGGACTCTCATATAACAAACAACAATAATAGTAAATATTTATTAAAAGAAGTAAATAAGGGTGAAAGACTGCGGTCAATACCCCTTTTGTATATATATTTATTCTTTGTAATAATTTATATTTTATTTTATGTAATTTTATTCCTATAAAAATAGTTTTTGTTATTATGATTAAATAAATCAATCTTTTGCAATAGTTTATAAAAATTGAAATTTTCAATATACAGAAATTACTCGCATAGTCCGGGTAATCGGTTTCGCAAATATACCGCAATATGTGAAAACGTACTATTCGAGGAATTAAAAACATAATAAAATAAACCCCACAAAACGAGATTTGACGTTTAAACATTAGAGAAATGAAAACCATTCTTTAAGTTTTAATTTACAAAAGTATTGTTATCAAATTATATTATCAATATCGAAAAATCTTTTAAATTCTATTCATTACATAAATATTCTTATTCAAAGTTATAGATTAGATAATAATATGTATATGACCAGAAAATGTCTTAATCTCTATTTAAAAACTGAAGCCTTACACAAAAGTTAAAAACCTCAAATATTGAAGAATTTTATAGCTTGAAGAAGTGAAAATTAAACCATAGTAACACATAATTCTATTGAGTTACGAATTTACAATAAAATTATAACAAAAATATATTTAATTAATAATTATTTAACGAAAGATTCGACATTGGTTATCATTTTAAGTATAATTGGTTACACTCTACATCGATGATATAGTTTTCTGTACACAAAATTATGTAAAATTTTGCTATTTGCTCGACTTTTAAATATTTGGAAATCATATGAAACATTATAAAACAGAGCTAACAGAATTAACATATAATAAATAAGTAAATTTAGGATTCGAGTAGAAGTGTTATATCGAATCATCGTTAATAGAGGAAGCGTTAAATGAGGTGTTACAGTATTTCAATAAACACAATTTTGATATTTAAGATCGTATGATTAAGAACAGACTACAAACAAACTAAAATAAATCTTTTACAATTTAAACTATGCATTTTCTATTTGCGATATATTTCTCATTTAGAACAATAAATAATAAGCAGGGCATTGTACTTTACTCCCTATTTGTGTTCTTTTTTTGTTTCGCGTCCCGCTTAACAAGTTTTAGTCGACTTGTAGTTTTTCGCCACCCTTTTGTCTTGTTGGGAATCTAGCATAAAGAAACGAGCGTGTTTGTTGTTCTTTCCCTGCGTCCGTCTCGTTTTTTTTTTTATACTTTCCTCTCTCCGCGTTTGTTATGGTTCTATTTATATTTAAAGCGTAAATCCAGCCCGATGTTTTTCAATTTCCGGCGACAATATTAAACTTTGACACGTCGCACCACGGTCTGCAATTCCCGACCTCGCCACTCAACGTACCCACTACTATTTTCTGTTTTAATCAACGGTGATATAATCACTAATGAGTTTTCTAATTAAAACTCGACTCGACGATATTTGTCTTTGTTAATATTTTCCCTTGAATTTATATCAGAAATATTTGCACCAATATATTTCATATTCAAAATATATTCTTTTAATTATTAATTAAGTTTTTTAAATTTATTTCACACCTCGATTTTTTATTGAAATAAACACCCCAGAAAGAGATTTAAAGGAAAGATTTTTGCATTAGAATTTAGTTCTTTTGAAGTTTCAAACCGTACTAATCGAAGCCGGACTATTCGAGGGATTGATGTATTTGTAATGTTTAGTTTTTTCTAAAAATTAAACTATATTTTGAGGTGAATTTTATGCAGAAATAAGTGAAGTGAACGTTCTTCCACTTCCAAACAAGTTGGTATAACACATTCTCGTGGTTGTTGCAAGGTAGTGAGTAACCAATTGTGAAGGGCGTTGTTGAATAACAAGAGCGCCGTCTATTATAAATTAATCATATAATATAATCTGCATGATTCTTTCATAACTTATACTTTAATCAATAATGATCCATTATGAATGTACTTATTACTATGATACATATATAAATAATAACAGTTTATCACTTATGATGTGTTATAAATGCTAATTTACACAACACATTTCAATTTCTTTAATAATACAAATGATTTACTGAATTCATAAATAATCATACAATAATACATAGATATACAAAACTGTTATCATGCACTTAATCTATTTGTATTTACAAGACTTTTTTAAAATTTTAACAAATTTTTCATTTTTTTTTGTATAATCAGAAGATCAACTTGAAAATCATAATTAAGTGATATACCTCAACTAAAGCTCATCATCTACTCAATAAACATGAGTCTAACAAATTGAATATGTATTATGTCTATCTTAGTTCTCTAGAATAAAATACATCGGTTTAAAAAAAAAGTTTCTAACAATGTTTCCTATTAGAATTTCCCGGCAATCAAGTACAGAATATATGCACTGCAATAGAGTACATTTTTTACATTAAATATTGCTATTTTGTGTATTGTATTTGAATAGTATTTGATATTTTATGCATGAATTTTATTTTGAATGAGAAATCAGAAAGAG